AGGAGGGTACTGAATTGCCCTAAGAATGGAATCAGTGACTAACCATCAGAGGAGCCTCACAGAATCAACCAGAGGGTTTTGTGTGAGGGAGACTCTTCTTCCCTGTGTGGCCAGCCCCAACAAGAGGCCTCCAAAAAAATCAAAGCCAGCAGAAGCTGTAGGGGAAGGGATGACAGTGAGAGGTTCACAGCCCCACCCAAGATACTTCGATCAGTTCCTCAAATAGGAGGCCACAGCCTGGTGGCTGACCTGAGTTGGACCCTTTAATTACTAAGAAAGGAAGAAAAAAATGTATGAACACTATTCAAATTGTTTGACAATTATTTTTAAAGAACCAGAGGAACATCTCTCCAAGCTGGCAGACACCTGCCCACCAACCACACTCCAATCCCAAGAGAGGGGCAGATGAGCTCCGCAGTCGAAATCCGGGCCGGGCTTTCCTTCTCACCCGGGTGACTCTTTTTTTTTTTTTTTTTTAAATGTGCCAGGAATTCCTCTCCCACGTGGGGTGGACTCCGAGGTACTCAATTAAGCAGCCAATGAAAAGTCAGCTCTCCGGTAGCAAATGACCCTGACACTTCTTGTAACATAAACAGTTGAAACGTTTCCAATTAGAACTGGAGACCGAGACGTTTGAACTCTTTCTCTCCACTCCCCTCCTTCTTTAAAAATAATTGTCAAGCGCTTTGGACTGGGTGTTGTATACATGTTTTTTTATTTTCTTTTCTCTTTCTGGAGCATAAAAGAAATTTATTTTTCTCCTTGTTTTTCCTAATTTGAGGGGTGGGGGAGTAGAGAGGCTGTGAGCTTAATGGGGTGCTGGCCTGGCTTAACTCCACGCCCCTCTTTCTGGCTCAGGCAGTCCTGGAGAGCAGCGAGGGACACTCAGTGCAGAGCAAATGGGAGTCAGGCGCGGGTGAGCTGACCCTGTGACTCCAGAACCTTAGAGTCTTTGCAAAGATTTGGGAATGAATGAATGAATGAGTGAATGCCTTCCAGTCTACAAGGGCTATCACAGAACCAGTTGGCGGAAGGCAAAGGGAGCACTGTCCCAGATTTAAATCTTGTACCTCTGCCCAGTTTGGGGACAAATTACTGAGCATCTTAGCCTTACCTTTTGATTCTCGAAAATGGGTTTACAGGCCATGCTGTTTCCCGCAGGAGTCAGGCGAGGATGAAGGGTTCTCCTAGAACTCCAATTCTCTCAGCGTTAGCACTCCCTAACGTGAATTAGGGACCCTGCGTGGCAGGGTCCTCCGCCCTTCAAAGGCAGCAGCGCTCTGCAAAACCAAGACAGCACTCGCAGCGGCTGGCTTCTGCTTTGTGCCAAGACTGGTGATGGCTGTGAGGCTCCCAGGTGAGTTCGAAGTGTGAGCTGCAGGAGCACCCTGGCAGGTGGAGTCCAGCGCAGACGCCAGGGCTGCTGCCTTAGCAGCGAAGCCCAAACTCGTGACAAGCTTCGGCCCGCAGTCCCTTTACACCCAATCTGGAGGCCAGGGTTCATTGGTCGTCTGTGGGTTAGTGCCATCGGAGCCAGTACGGAGTGTGACGAAGAGGGAGGCCCGACAAGGCGCCACGTCCTGGGCATCTTGAAGGTATTGTGTTTAATAAATCCGACGGAGACGTACCCCAGCTCTCCCCCCTCTCCTTTCCAAATCGAGACCTGCTGTGGGATCCCCAGTTTACGGGGTCTTAAAACCCCCTCCACTTTGATTAGTAGCTTCAAAGAGCTCCCTTTAATGTTCGCCCCCCTCCCCCGCCCCCACCTTCCCTTTTACAGGCCACCCCTCCTCACCATTCCTTCTTAGACTTCTGGACGGCAACAACAAAACACTTAATGCAAGTTTAAGGTGGGGGAGGGGAAGTCTTCAGGCTTCCTCCTGAACGTGGGCCGTAGAAATTACCTGTTTCAGGCGTAGCACAGGAATCGGAGAACCGTGGAGTCTGGGGCTTTTTTCTCCTTCATTTTCTTTCCCCTTTCTTTTCGTCTTTCTTTCTTTCCCTCTCTTATTTATTTATTTATATTTGGTTTGTGTGTGTGTGTTTTACCTTTTATTATTTAAATTGATACGTTTCATTACTAGGGAGAAAAATAAAATATTCCTTTGATACACAAAATCAAATTGATATTTAGCCTCTGCTTACTTTTTTATGCATGGCTCCTTTATACCACATGGTAGTGACAGATTGTTTGAGCTGGAAGGAAAAGCCATTCAAAGCTAATTAAGCAGCCATTCCAAGCACTATTTGCAAGCGGGAGGCTCAGAAGCCTCGGCATTTGTCAGCGCTCCCCCACCCCGCGTGGTTTTGACTGACAGCTCAAGCTGCGGACTGACAACTCTCGGCAGTTTCGCCAATCAGTAGCGGAGAGCCTCCTCCGCGGTTTCTGATTGGTCTTCCAAGCCTTGCTGGAGGGCGGGGTCGACGTCACCCACGTGGGGACAGGAGCGAGAAAGGGGCGGAGCTGATAGAAAGCGGGTTCGCCCACCCGTGACGTAAGGGGGAGGGTAGAGAAGGGGGAGGGGAAAAGGAAGCTCCAAAGAGGAGCCATTTTGTGTCTAATGAATGCTGCGGCCAGATGCTCGCATCTGTCGAGCTGGGCTTCTCCCCACCCCCCTCTTCCGTACGCGCCGCACACGATTTATGTTTTTATTTAGGAGAATAAATAAATGAAGAGAGGAGCGCGGTTCAGAGCTGGCGGCCGGAGCGGGCGCGGGGAGGCTCAACTCTGAGGCGGCCGCTCACGTGTAACTCCCTGCGCACCGGCCTCTGAAAGCCGGCTGGTTCTCAGCTTCTCATTAAGATGCAAAGCGAACTCTGACTCCTAATGAGGGGAAAATATAGACCCGGAGCGCGCGGCCGGCTCGCGCGCGCCCGCAGCCGACCCGGGGTGCGTGCGGGTTCTCGGAGGTTCCGTGGAGGGACCCCCGGGTCCCACTCACCCCGCCGTGCCCTCTGGGGTCTGGGGGCGCGGCCGCTCCTGCTACCCAACTCCTTGAGGGCCGTTTCCTCCGGGCCGGTCTGCCCTGACGTAACCCCGATCGTAGGAGATCGAGGCTATCGGTTTGCGGGCAAACTGGCCCCAGGAGTCGAGTGGCCTGTGCAACCGCGCGGGGAGTCCCGGAGGCGCGACGGCGGGGGCGGGTGAGCGTTTGCGCCTGCCGGGGCGTCGATGCTGACGGCCGGAGACACCCACAGACTTGCACACGCGCCCCTCCGCCGCTCCCGCTGACTGGGTCGGAGCTCGGGATTTCCCGGTCCACGGCCCGGCAGGCGTCTGCCCCCATCCCCGGCGCCAATTTCCCCAGCCCCTATGTGCAGTAAGAAGCTGTGGTAAGGGCGCACGGGGGAGTCGCCCCCTCGGGAAGGAGCCACGAGTGGGGACAGTGAGAATTGAGTCGGTTGTCGGCGGGCAGCCGGACCCTTCCATCTGCGCTGCCCGCCAAGCAAGAGTTCTTCAGACTTCTCGCTGGCAGCCGTAGCACATCAAAGACGCTGTTTATTTGGCTTTCTGAGAAGAAGGACGAAGGAACAAAGAAGGAAAGCTGGGGGCCAGCGGGGGGGGGTGGGGGGAGAAGGTGTGCACGAGAAGGGGTAAAGAAACACCCTCAGTTCCGAACAAAATCTTTAAAATGGGAGGCAACTTGGGGAGCCACCATTTTATCGGTCCTAAATCTTCTGAAGTGAAAACATTAAAGTGACAAAGTGATTCTGTTTGTTTTATAGTATCTAATTGGGCTGCTTTGCAGACCTAATGAGATTAGAGGAAGGAATCGTTCGCCGCCACTGCAGAAAAAATTGATACATTACTACCAGCCACAGGTTTTGAGGACTGTACAGCTTGTCTTTTCTCTTTTGTTGTTATGCCTCTGTCTCCCTCTTTCCTCCTCCCGCCAAATAATTACTTGCTAGTAGATCGTGGGGAAAAAAAGAGGAGAAAAAAATCTAGCAGCCCAGGACTATAATATATATCTATTTATTATATGTCTTTCGGTTAATTCCTGATCTGAGGAGCGCTGTTTTTCACTCTCATGCGAAAGTCACCAGCGGGTAGGGCCTGATTGCTACTTTTCATGCATAGTTTTAGACACAAGAGGGCATTGTGACGTCGCGCCCGGCGGCGCCCAGTGGCAGGCCGAGTCGGGCAGCCCCACGTGGGGGTCCCGCGCTCCCATTGGCCAGCGGCGGGCGAGGCTGCCACATTATTTTGTTACTTTTCATTCCCTATTTGGAACTGCTCTCGCGGCAGTTCAGACCTCGTGCTCGTCCCCCTCGCTTGTCTGTGTGTGGTATCCGCAGGTCCGGGGCACTTTTTTTTCCTGTGTGTGTGTGTGTGTGTGTGTGTGAGTGTTAGCTGTGTGTTTTGGGGGTTTGTCGGTACGCGGAGAGGAGAGGCTGGCCACGGGGAAGGAAGGAAGCCGCAGAGCTCCCCGGTCTCGGGCTGCGTCTCCCCTCCAGCGCTCTCCTGCCTGCGCGCTCGGAGGCGGCGGTGGCGGCGCCCAGTGCTCCTCGCTGGGGACGCGGCGCTGACCTGGGAGCAGCGAGAACCCCTTGGCGGAGGCTTCCTTTACTCGCTGGAGTTAGGATGCCAGGGCGGTTGATTTGCACCCACTGAGCCCGGAGTTTCCTCTTCGGCCCTGGGAAGGGCTCGCTGGCTGCGGTCGTGGCGGCAGTAGCAGACGGAACAGCAGGCTCTCTTCTCCGAGGGGGGGCGTCGAAGTGCCCGCGCCGGCTCCCGCCCTCACCCTACAGCGTTCCTGCGGCCCGAAGCCACCACCTCGGAGCCTTCCTCCTTCCTCTTGTCGCCGACCGCCACCTCTAGGATTGGACTCGCGCGTACCGGATGCTGGGGCTACCCCGGCGCGCCCCCCTCCTGGTGCGACGCGCTGAGTGATCCGAAGAGGACCCGCGCTCGCCCCAGTAGGGGCCCCGGGCTTGGGGCCCGGCGCCGGACCGCCGGGGAGACAACGATGTCCGCTCAGCCACCGGCTCTGACGCGCTCCACGCAGCCGGGGGAAGGCGGCTGGCCACAGTCCGCGGAGCCCTAAGCTCACAAAGCCCGCGACTGCCGCCTGGCCTCGGAGCCCGCCGACGACTTTGCCGCCTGCTCCGTGGCTCTTTGTCTCCTCTTGGGGCGGGCGCCCGATTCTGGGATTTCGGTGTGAAAGCGAGCTGGGGGGGCCGGGGACGAGCTCTCGGTTTCCCGGCCGCCCCCCGCTCGGGCTTGGCTACCCCCTCCCCCGCACCTCCCCGACCCGGGCTTTCGGCACTTCCAAGCTCTCGGAATCACGACCCCTCCCTGCCATGTATCCGCAAGGCAGACATCCGGTGAGTAATTGCAACTCGGTTTATTTAAGCATCTATCAGGGCTGGGTAAACGGGGCAGTTTAATCTAGCACCTCCATTTTCCTTGTTGCTACCTTTATGTTGTGGGGTGTGTGTGTGTGTGCGCGTGTGTGTGCGCGCTCGCGCGCGCGCGCGCACACAAAGGGGATGGAGATGGGGGGCGCCGTAGAGAGGTTAATTCAGCCCGCGTGGCGTGGGGGTCTGCATTTGCTCTGGGGGAACTGTTTGTTTTCCTGTTGCCTCCCGCCCCCTCACCTAAGTCTCCCAACTCGCTCGGCTTCGTCTCCCCCGCCCGTGTCTTACTTGGGAATGGGAGCCCTCCGGCCAATAGGGTTTGGGGGTCCCCTCCCCCGCTGGGATGCTGAGAAACTTGTTAGGAAGATACTGGTCTGTGGAGGTGGCCTCTCGGATTGGCCGGCGGTGGGGGGAGCCAGGAGACGCCGCCTAGGGGCCCCTGCGGCCAGCAGCGCTTTCTAACGCCCCCGCCCCTTCCCCGGTCTTGTCGCGGACTCCAGGCTCCCCATCAACCCGGGCAGCCGGGATTTAAATTCACGGTGGCTGAGTCCTGTGACAGGATCAAAGACGAATTCCAGTTCCTACAAGCCCAATATCACAGGTAAGGCCGGTGGGGGCCTCCCGGGTGATGGCGGGGGAGGGTGCTTCCCCGCCGCCGCTCCTGCCTCCCCCGGCGGGGAAGGAGGGAGCTCCTGACCCCCGGCGGCCGGTTGGCCGGGGCCTCCACCTTTTGTTTCCCCTTTCGGTGCGCGGTGCTTTAACCCTTAGCGGCTCACCGCCTCCGGATCCCCTTGCCGCCCCCGGGGGTCCCTGAACTGAGGCTCGGGAGTCGCCGGTGGGTTCGCTCTGGGTTTTGGGGACCGCGAGCCACCGTCGGGGGTTCCGCCCCCCTCCCCCTCTCCTGGACCTAGCGGAGTCCACTTGCTCCTTTTGGGAAGTTTCAAGTTGTTTCATTCCTCCTCTTGGTGGAGGTCCCCTCCGTCCAGAAGCTACGGGATAATGGGGTTCCCCCGGGGTGTCAGGGAAGTGAAAAATGGCTCTCAGGAGCCTAGGGGTTCGGAGTAGGCTGTGCAGGCGCCAGGCCTGAGCCGGCTCCTCTTGCCCTCGCAGCCTCAAAGTGGAGTACGACAAGCTGGCGAACGAGAAGACGGAGATGCAGCGCCATTATGTGATGGTGAGAGCCAGCGGGGGTGCGGTGTGGGTCCCGGAGTCTTAAAGCCCTGGAGCGTCCCTGGGAGTAGCTCTGCCAGCGTCTTGTGATCTGAGCGTGCCCTCTGACCCTTCCCTAGCCTCCCTGAGCCCTGGCTAAGTGGAGGAGGGCGGGTGAGAGCAGGGGCACAGAGAGAAACCCAGCTCTAAGCCCAGCACTGCTTTACCACCTTTGTGCCCTTTAATTTGTGTGTTGGAGGTTTCCCAGAGGGCTGGTTGCCCTATCTTGGCTAATAAGATAGGATTGAATCAGTCCACGTAGGGTTGGATAAAAATCTCTCTTAAAGACCTCCTGGGAGTGTTTGGAAACTTCTCACTGCTGCCCTGGGATCTGGCCAGATAGGGACATAAACCCTCTCCCTGCCTTCCCTTTTGCTTCCCCAGGGCTTTAGGAGAGTGGTGGTGCCTCCGCCCCCTCACCCCCCCCCCCCACTTGAGAATGTGTCAGCTGTAGGGGCTATAGGTAGACCCTGGGTAGACAGTCTGCCTCTTTCCAGGTGTCTGTTCCAGCAAGTTTAAATCTGCTTGTGAAAGGGCCGGAAGGTGCTTAAGCGCAGCTCCCTGAGCTGCTTTCCATGTAAGAGGCCTTCAACACAATGCTAAACAACTCCCGGAGGACACGAGGGTCCCAGTGTACACACATTCCCTGTTGAATCAGAACTTTGTATAAACAGGTTATGTGGCACACGCTTGCCTGTGGGAGAAGGGAGGGCCCAGTTTTTTTACTACTGTCCATAGAATGTTCTAGTCAGATGGGAGCAACCCTCCCCCCTTGTAGGCTCTTGGACCTCTCTATCTCTGGCTTTAGAGTTTGATTTTAACTTCTCTAGTAAACACTGTTATAATCTCACCAAGTGAAAACTGATTTTGAAAAATGAACAGATTCCTCTTTTTTTTTTCTATTAATGGCAATTCTTTTTACTTTTAGTACTATGAAATGTCCTATGGCTTGAACATTGAAATGCACAAGCAGGTAAGTGCCTTCCTCTTTAAAAATACATACCTCATTTTAAAATATGTATATCTGTGGATTTTTTTTTTTTAGGTCCCTTTCCTTTTGAATGTGAATCAGGGCTTTTCTGTTCTTGGAAGAGGGAATGGATCCAGGCCTTGAAATAAATGGTCTGAGGCTTTTATGGGTTTCTTTGACATGTTGAGCTTTTAGCATTGGAGCTTGTGAAATTATCCTGGTCTTGGATTTTGGTGGAGAATAAAGGCGCAAAGGGAAATTTGCATCTCTGGGACCTTTTTTTACGAACTCCTGAAGCCTAGAGGTGACTGGTTACTTTGATCTGTTTTAATGTAAAATTCTCAGGAGGAATGCAGGACAGTGCCTGCAAGTGCTGCCCAGAATACACTGCGTTACCCTAAGAAAATGTGATGTTCTTCCTTGATAAGATGAAACTTGGAGTCTCAAACGCCAGATTGAGCTGCCAGAATTGAAGGGAACAATCCATTAACTGCATGAAAATATTAAAGCCGAGCTATAGTTCGCGTGCCATGCATTTATGAAACAGCTTTCTCATCTGTGTCTTCATTTGAAGGCAGACTTGTTCCCATTTCACAGAGAAGGAAGCTGAGCTGAGGGGTGAAGTAACTCGCCCAGAGGCACCTCAGCCAGGACTTTTGTGATGGCTAGGAGTTGAGCTCAGCTTTGAAATCCTGAAGTCAAACCAGTTTAGCTAGTGTGGTGTTGTTTGATGGATATGTAAACCACCTCATATTGTCACTCTTCTAATAACAGTATACCTCAAACCAAGCAAATACAAATACCCTTTATCTCTGCGCATATCAGTAACTAGTCCGGCTGCTAGGCTGGGCTGTGGGAGAGGCCTGTTTGTGTGTTTGTGTTCCAAGGAGAGGCTGCCTATAATTTGGCTCAGGCCGGGCGATTAGAGTTGACTTGGCACATCTAAATGGCACAGGCCGGTTGTTCTTTTTAACAATTGGTGTTCTTGAAATCTCAGAAGGCTGTTGACTCATTCTAGCCTTTGGTGACCGTGAATTGAATGGATTTTCTGCTCTAAATTAACAGTCATTTACAAGGTTTAAATTTTGCTCTTTAAGGGGCAGGACCCAGGGCAGGTGAGAAAGGCAGGTGACCCCTGGAAAGCTTGTAGTTTCCTGCCTGTGCCAGTGGCTTTGCGTAGAGCCTTTAAATCTGTGGTTTTCTTCCTCCTCCTAGAAGGAGCCTTGTGTTGGGTGAAGGGCAGCCAGAAAGGGGCCTGAGTTTATTGAGCAATGTGGGAAACCAGCATGCGGCTTCCTGAGGGATTAGCTCCCTAGGAAGGCCCATAAAGGCTACTAGGTTTTTACTTCTTGACCCATAGAAATAATAAACAGAGACCTCTTTGTGTATAAAGATGTATCTCTTTGGGAGAATGGACTAGAGACAGGTCCTGCCCAACTTTAGGGGGAATGGACCAAGTCTTATTGGTCCAGTAAGAATGCATGGAGTGGAACTGGGGGTTCCAGGTGTTCAGGAACCTCAGTATGTTATGCAAGGTGCCCTGCCGCCTTCCTTCCTCCACCCCCCCCCCCTTTTTTCCTTTAGTGCTTAGTATCTTGGGTGTGTTTAAAGAGGGTAATTGCACCCAGGTTTAAAATTTATAGCAGCAGTTATTCTAAGAGCTTCATAATTAAGGTGTAATATGCCGTTGCGTGTTGAGGTCTGCATGGGTGGTGTTCCCTGTGTCTGATAATGGATGGCTCCTTGGCATAAAGAATACACCTTGGCTGGTGGAGCAGTGCTGTTCCCAGAGTCCTTGGGACATTCTGAGTCTAGGAAGAGTTAAACATCCTAAAGTGTTGTTTTTGGTGGTGGGTCTTGTATAAAGAGCAGCTGTGCGCATTTAGGACTTCTGGCCATTCTGCAAACTGGGCTCTTAAAGTGGAGGGGTGGGGGTGGAAGTGAAGGGAGCCTGGGGTTTAGCTGCTTTGTCTCATGGAATCCACATAACTGCTGTTGGCAAAAGATGGATTATTTGCCCTCTCCCCCCTTTTTTTTTTTTAAAGATTTATTTATCTATACATACAAAACTGGGGCACAGGCCAAAGGTAACAGGGGCAGTGAGAGGACTCACCAGAGACGGAGTGGGGAGCAGAACAGACAGATCAACAAAGCACACTGCTGAGGGGAGCAGTGGGCAAGATAGGAGAGGTCTGCCCTGCCACGTGGGTCAGCTCCCGGGCTGGGAATCGAACTCACACCGAAGCAGCTATGACCAGTTTACAGTGATGTGCTCTAACCCTCTGCACCACCAGGGAGTATTTGCCCCCTTTTATAGGTGGACAGACTGAGGCTTTGTGGAGGGAGCACAAGAGGCTAGCGCTGACACTTAGATCCAGGTCTCTGGATTCCCACAGCAGGTGCTGTACCCCGCACTGTGCCCACCTTTGCCTTCCAGCCAGCCTTAGTTCCTGTTTGCCTCCTAGGATGAATGTGTGTGCCCCGAATGCAGTGCCATTACAGGGTTATAAGGCAATCTCTGAGGCGGTGAAATCACCCCTGGCTGTGGAGGAACAAAGAGGCAAGGAGGTGAAGAAACCTTGCCCTGAGAAACGCAACCCTGACCTAATGGGGCTGGCCACTCCCTAGGCTTGCGAGGCTTGTGCAGAAGAAACCTGGCCACTAATTGTAGTGTGGGTCTTGGGTGCATTTGGTGGATGGTGGTTAGGCCTGAGCAAACAAGTTTATCAGCTGACCTGTTTAGCGGTTGACTGGTGTTTTTATCTGCACACACAATCAAGTGACTGGAGTGCTTGAATTATTCATGCAGTGTCCTGCCCTCTAGACTTGACTGTTCGTGTGATTACATCTGCCTGGAACAAACAGGCTGGATTCTTCATCTTTAAGCTTGGGAGTGGGGGGCGGGGACTGTCTGTACTTTTATATAATAGATCATCTACAGAGCTAGCACCTTGGAGATATGTTGATCCTTACACACATACACACACAGACGTACACTCTTAACAGCTGTACATCTTCTTAAAAGCTCCTCTTTGCTGGCTCTACAGAAAATGCCTGTAAATTTGGAACCTTGGGTGCTGCCAGATGTGACAGAGGGCAGCTGATGAGATGCGTCCTGCCCATTCTCATGTTACTGAGAGGTTGGATTCGCTGTGGCTGGCTCCTTTCTTGGTTGTGTGTGTCTCTCTCTCCCTGTCCTTTTTCCAAATTTCAAATCCCAGGGAAGTAATAGATGGTTTCTCCTCCTACTCTGCTGCCTCCCTGCCTAATTATGGGAAAGCCAAGATTACAGAATCAGGGGCCTGGCCCAAGACTTCAAGAGGTCACCCACCTTCCAACCTCTGCTTCCAGGCAGAATGTCAAGGGTGATTCAGTGAGACCAGGGAGACGATGAAGGCCTAGCAGTCCATCAGTCCCATCTAGGCTTTCCAGTGTTAGCCACAAGTCTCAAAGCCAGCCAGAAGCTGCCAGAGCAGCTGTTTGTTGTACATGGAGCTTGAGGCTCTGACACTGGGTCAGGTGGGCTTTTCATCCTGTGCCTGCCGAGTGCTGATGTTTTGAAAGAGGACTTAAGGTGTTTAGATTTGGGGTCTGTGTCTGTGCCAAAACTTAGCATTCACTTTTTTTTTTCCTGTAAATTGAGCAACCCCTTACCTTTCTTTTGGCATCCTGGGAGAGCCCTGCTTCACATTGCAGGGGATGAAACTGAGGCCTGAAGAGGGAAGCCGAAGGACCAGACTCATGAGGCCCCATGGTAGCTTCTGTCAGCTCTGCCTCCAGTGCCAGGTCTCTTTTTTTAGCAAGTCTCAAGCAATAAAGAGTGCTAGTTCAACTCGGTGTCTTTATTCTTGCTTCTTTCGGTGCGACCAGCTGAAGAAGCACAGACAACAAACCAGCGACACCAAAGTCCAAAATAACCCCTTTCGGGTTGTAGAGTGAGATCGGCGGAATCCTCTTGGCCGAGTCCTGATCTGTATTGCTAGCTATCTGCACAGCTCATGATTTGATGTGCTTTGCAATAAGTAAAATGTATAGCTAGCAGCCCCCGAGTTCAGGGTTGAAGGTAAAGTGGTTAAAAGTGTGAACTTTTTACCCAAGACTACAATAGCCATGGGAGTGGCCATGCACTCCCACTCCGGGCTGGAGAAGGGAGATGGGCACTCTGTGGAGGTGACAGTTGAGCAGCAAGGGTCTGGCGGTGTGGGGAGACAGGGGGAGCCACTAGGGGGCGAAGTCATAAAGATCCTGACTAGGAGTTGAGTCTGACTTGGTAGGGAAAAGGGGGGCCCCACTCTCACATTGAAGGGTACCTGTGTGGTGGCATCTGCTTGCGCTAAGAATCATTCCTTTGAATGTCCTTTTTGGTCAGAGTGCTGGCATCCAAGAGCCTCTGTACCCTGGTTTCCATCAAACTTCCCCTACGTGGTCACTGTTCCGTGGAACAGTGTCATCTAGCACATGACTCCTTATTGTCCATGATGCCCGCCTCACCCAGCTTTGGGGTCTGTTGACTTAAAACTCCCTTTCCCCTATCCTGTCCACCTAGAAGGTCCAGCCTGGACCCTTGTTTTTAGTTGTGCATTTGGGGTTGACATGCTCTTCTCTAGGTCCTTTCCTGCTCATAGGTGTGTGATTACTTGAGTGATCTGGGAGATGGTCAAATGGCCTCTTGTCCTTACTTTACCAATCAAAGAAACTGAGTTCACCAGTTGGCAGCTTGCCCTCCCTCCCCATGTAAGACTTTCCCTGAATGCTTTAGCCTAGGAGCCTCTTGCCAGGGCAAAGCTCTTCTTTCTCTCTGAATTCCTCCTCCTTCCTCACCTTCCTGAGTTTATATTGGAGGCTTTTCCCAGAATGAGAACATTTTAATCGGTTTTTTAAATTTTTTTCCTTTTTGGTACAAAACCCAGGGGCAAAAGTGGATCCAGGCTAAATCTCAGTGGGATGTCCCCGTGATTTGACCTGTGATGTTCTTTCTCGTGCCTCATAATATCAGGGTTTTT